AAAAATATAAATTATAATCTCAAGTTGATATATATCATTTTTACAAATGAATTTAACTAAATTCTTTAGTATAATTTTTTTTAAAATTATTACCTAAAATAAATAGAGAGGTTTGGTTTAATAATCCAAAAAATAATGAAATTTGAAAACTAACCTATGTTTTCAAGTGTTTGAAAACTAACTTTTTTATTATTGAAAGATAATAATTCTTTTATAAAATTATAGAATTTTTAGTTATAAGAAAATATATTGAAATAAATTGGATCAATTGTTGATCAATACTACTCTAAATGACTCTCAAACTATCATCAACTATATTGTTTTTGTCGTTGAGTGGCTGCAAAGATTAAAATATAGTAAAAACATAAAATCTATTTTAAATCGAGCGTGTAAAATATATTATCAAGTTGAAGCACTGATGTACCAGTTTTAACATCAACAAACATTCCATCAATTGCCACTAGAAGAAGATCTGATGCATTTGCTAGAATCAGTAGTGACTCATGTCGTTAAGTTTACATTTTAAGACATTTTTCATTATATCTTGAGATCCAGGAGTAAAAATCTCTCTAAGCATGGAAAACACAAAAATATTCTTTATACTAGAACGTAAAAGTAAAATAATCAATCATTTATTATTGTGCAAAATATAAAAACGTCGGTAGGCCAAAAAAACTATGAGCTAATTTATTTAATAGTAAATTATTCATAAAAGACTGAATCAAATGAACTAACATTATATAACTTGAATAATTTTTTTTTGAGTTCATCATTTTTAATCTTTTCACAATTTTTATAATCTTATATTTTATGTGTAATTTGTATTTTTCTCTTATAATTGATCATGTAAATGATATCATTTTTTATTTTGTAAACTATTGTATAATAGAAGTAATTAGATTTAAAAGCACTTTATATATTTGAGTTTAGAATATTTTGATAATCTCAGTTACTAAAGAAAAGTTAGTTGTCAAAATTTTAAGAACATGAGTTAGTTTTCAAATAACACAAAAATTCTATAATATTTTTACAAATTTTCTCAAGCAAATATCTC